TTGTACTGCACAGTTGTGTTGTACATGCATGTCAGTGTGAGGATTGCATATGTACTGGGCTAAGGCCCCCAGCAAGCCTCGTGCCCGCCCTAAGTGAAGGCGGGCCTGTAAATGCCCAGAAGGCCCTGCATTCGACATTTCATTAAGTGGGGGCTATACAGTTTCAGCATGCCTGCTGGTTGGGTGCGCGCCAGTTGGTTGGATGCACGAAGTCCAGAATTCTGCAAACGCAGGTTGGATGCCGAATTTGCCAAAGGGAAACCGGTCCACTGTCTGAATCTGGACGATGATCAGGATGAAAGAGGTACAACTGTGCAGCCTGGGCCCTTAACTGTACTGCGCCTGGGCAGAGCAACTGGGACCCAGGCCCACGCTATCTGCTTTTGCTTTGTCTACATGGACTTCAGTGTGATTTGCAGTATGGATTTCTGATCTTCATCCACATTCATGTTCCTTGCATCAGTGGGAGATCCCCCCAAAAGTGGCAAAATGCCAAAAACATTTTTTTTTTCCAAAAATGCTCCGAATCACCCCAATTTTTTTGGGGGGGATATTCCTAGTCTTGCGCAAGAACATCCCTTTTTTTTTTTTTTTTTTTTTTTTTTAATGCCAAAACCACTTGTCCGAGATCCCGGACAACTCCCATACCGGACGGTTGGGGGAGACGTCCGGCCCCCGGACCATTGGTAACCTAGGATTTTCGCTACTTCTGACATTTCGAGGTACTATTTTTGGAAACATTGAGTTGACGTCATCTTCCCTCTCCTCCTCCTCTCTCCTCCCCTCCATTCATCCGTGTATGAGAGTTGGCCCTGGCCTTTTCTTCCATGTCCAAGGCCAGGGCTATCACACCACCGATGTATGTTTCTGAGACATTGGTTGCAGTCTGAGTCAGGTTTGAGTCAGTCCATGTGTATCAAGTCTTCCGCTGTAATTGTACTTAGGTCGGTTCTGGGAATCTGCGCCATACTTATGATTGTGTTTCACGAGTATGCAACACTCCTCTCTCTCGCTTTCCCGCGCACGCGCTTGCATTATTTTATTTTTTTAGGGTCTTGATGGACCACAGTTCAGGGGCGCGTAGTTAGAATGAGCTCTCTCTCTCTCTCTCTCTCTCTCTCTCTCTCTCTCTCTCTCTCTCTCTCTCTCTCTCTCTCTCTCTCTTTGCGCACCCAAAAGTTTTACTTTTTATTTTCTAGCAGCGGCACGAAGAAACCCCGCACGCGATCTAGCATTGTCTTTCTTTCAATGGCGGCGGGAACTCTCAATCTCTCTCTCTCTCTCTCTCTCTCTCTCTCTCTCTCTCTCTCTCTCTCTCTCTCTCTCTCTCTCTCTC